TGGAGAAGCTCTATACAGTCAGCAAAAAGAAGACCTGGAGCTGATTGTGGCTCTGATCATCAGCTTCTTATAGCAGAATTCAAGCTCAAACTGGAGAAAGTAGGAAAAACCACTGGGCTAGTAAGGTATAACCTGAACCAAATCCCTTATGAATACACAGTGGAAGTGAAGAACAGATTTAAGGAACTCGATTTGGTGGAGAGAGTGCCTGGAGAACTATGGATGGAGGCTCATAACTATGTATGTATGTATGTATGTATGTATGTATGTATGTATGTATGTATGTATGTATGTATGTATGTATGTATGTATGTATGCATGCATGCATGCATGCATGCATGTCCCAATCCCAAAGAAGGGAAGTGCCAAAGAATGCTCCAACTACCGTACAATTGCACTCATTTCACAAGCTAGCAAGGTTATGCTCAAACTTCTATAAGGCAGGCTTCAGCAGTATGTGGACCAAGAACTCCTAGAAGTACAACCTGGATTTCAAAGGGGCAGAGGAACTAGAGACCAAATTGCTAACATGTGTTGGATTATGGAGAAAGCCAGAGAGTTCCAGAAAAACATCTACTTCTGCTTCGTTGAGTACGCAAAAGCCTTTGACTGTGTGGGCCACAGCAAACTATGGCAAGTTCTTAAAGAAATGGGAGTGCCTGACCACCTTATCTACCTCCTGAGAAACCTGTATGTGGGACAGGAAGGAACAGTTAGAATTGGATATGGAGCAAATGATTGGTTCAAAATTGGGAAAGTAGTACGACAAGGATGTATATTGTCTCCCTGCTTATTTAACTTATATGCCGAATACATCATGTGAAAGGCTGGACTGGATGAATCCCAAACCGGGATTAAGACTGCCAGGAGAAATAATATCCTCAGATATGCAGATGATACCACTCTGATGGCAGAAACTGAGGAGGAATTAAAGAACCTTGTAATGAAGGTGAAAGAGGAGAGTGCAAAAAATGGTCTGAAGCTCAACATCAAAAAAACTAAGATCATGTCCACTGGTCCCATCACCTCCTGGCAAATGCAGTGGTGCCTCGACTTACGAATGTCCCTAGTTGCAAAATTTTTGAGATACGAAAAACTCTGTTCACAAAATATTGCCTCAACTTGCGAACGGAGCTTCAAGTTACAAAAGAAAAAATGCGGGCGAGGCAGGGAAAGCGGGAAGTTTGAACTTTCTGTTAACTGTTGGCCAGCGAAGAGTCTGTTTGTCTGCTACCTCACTCGTCCCAGCGGTCAGAGAGAGGATAGGGAGAGAGTCTTCACACTACATTTTTGAAGCCTTTCATGGCCGAGATCTTATGGTTGTTGTGGGTTTTTCAGGCTCTTTGGCCATGTTTTGAAGGTTGTTCTTCCTGACGTTTTGCCAGTCTCAGTGGCCGGCATCTTCAGAGGACTGGAGTAGGAATTCTGTCCATGCTGTGTTGCTGTTTGTTGGATAGTTGAGTATTTATATCTGTTGGAACAGCTTTGTCCTTTTCAGGAGATAGGGTGATTATGGTGATCAGTGTGTTTTTGTTGTTGGATATATTGTTGTGATAAGGGGGAGAGATTTTCTGTCATTGTGATTGATAGGTGTCTTTAGCTGGTCTTTTTTGTGCAATGATCCCTGGTCCTTGTGGCTGGGTAGAGTTTGTTGACCTTTCGCAGGCTGTATTTTTCAGTGCTGGAAGCCAGGCCTTGTTAAGTTTTAGACTTTCTTCTTTCTTGTTGAAGCTCTGATGGTGTTTATGGATTTCATTGGCTTCTCTGTACAATCTATCATACGTAATGATTGCTGGTGTTGTCCAGTACTTCAGCATTTTGAAATAGAATTTCATGTCCAGCTTGTTTTAGGGTATGTTCAGCTACTGCTGATTTTTCCGGATGTTTTAGTCTGCAGTGTCTCTCATGTTCTTTGATTCTGGTGTGAATGCTG